GGAAAGTATTACGTAAATAGTTAATGTGAGTCAATGATTGAAAAACAAAATGAAACAACATTTGCAAAAGAAAAATAAAAATAAACACCATACTCAGTAATCTCCACTTCACAAGCATAATCAGCTATAGAATCTGTTGTTGAATCATTGATAACCTACATGATAAATAGAAAGGCACAGCTAGTAACAGTGAGGGAATGCAGGACAATCAAATATAAATTAATGAGAAATGGGGACAGAAAAGGACCAGTTACAATAATATACCATTCCCATTCGACGATTTCCTTCCATTATTCTCCTGACCTGTTGTTAAAGAAATAGACCGAGATTAATATAATCTGTATTAGGACTGTCTTACATTGATTTAGATAGAAAATTATAACCATTAATTGCACATTTGCAGGATAGACTCTTGTAAAGCAATTCAACATGTCATTTCACTTCGAATGTTAATGTGCCTTCACATGCCACGAGGCAATAGACAATAACACAAAATTTTATGTTTGCTGGAGTCCAATACTGTCATGACACTGCTTAGTGAGAATAAACAATTATTTTCTTTTACTGCCTAAAACTTGGGGGAAGTATTTCCCAGTGACTACGACATAAGCATATCGAATGAGACAAAGGATAACTAACACTAATTACGCTTGCATCACTATAAAAGATGCCTGAACTAACTGCTAAATGATGGACTTAATTCAGTGTTCATGTAAGGGTAGAAGTCTCATTTCTTTAATTAACGAAGTAGAGCTCCAAAGAAAAAATCAGGTATCAGAAGATGAGTGTACAAAAAATGAGATTTTGATACCTAATCTTGAGAAAACACTTAATAATGAAATGCATTGCCTTCATGAGACAGAATCAACAAAAATAAAACCCAAAAATCCCATAAATAAAAAGATTTTTTAACCAGAAAAAATAAAACCAAAGATTTCCTATGGATCAAAAGCCATGACTCATGAGTATCTACATTCTAAAATGTGAAACTATCTGTACACTTACTTCGGCATGAAACTAAACAGGGCAAAATAAGGATGGATCTGGCACAGCAATGTCCGAGCTTGCATACAATTGTGACAGATCCTAGATGATATTAGCTTTACAATAAGTCAAAATATTTGAATATCCAAAATAGATACAACTGAAATTCGATTAGAATTAGCTCTACATGGATAAATTTTCACTTCAACCATAGTAGGTTGCCTTAAGTTGGATTCACATTTAAACAGACGATTCTAAACCCTTATCATATCAGGTTTTCAACCTCCTGTGGAGTGTGCTAATCACTTGTGAATTGCTTTGTGCAGTGCAAGTAGCACTCGTCAGACTTCCCATTAAAGGTCAGTATCTAAATAGTAAACTACCAGATACACCAACCTTCAGGAATCCATTTTCTGAATGCTAGGAATCTATCAGTTTCCCCCGCACCATGCTAAGATCCTGGTCTCATTGAATCAGATCAACATTCATACCACGACCAATTTAATGAATAAGCCAGAATTCAATTGTCTACATTAATTTTAGTAGAAGGCAGCAATAGTCACATCTATCCTTAAGAAAGATTTTGCCATGCAAAAATATTCATGTTTATTTCCCCATTGAAGCATCCAAATAGTTGAATTCAATACCATAATTTTAACCAATTGAAAGACTTCGACTAACATGCGAATAAAGACATCAATTCCACCCTTCATGGCTTCATTTGCTCAACAAACTACGTAAAAAAATAACAGGGAGAAAGAGAGAGCATCATTTTTTTTCGGGTAAATTGAGAGAGCATCATTTTATCGTCAATTAAACCCCATCTCATTTAACAAGTTCACGAAGTGGAGCTCAAAGGACTTACAAAATTCACCCAATCCTAAAATAGAGAGAAACTGAAGGGAAATTCTGAAAAAGTAAGCACTATAATGATTTAGAATGTAAAAAATTACCCTGAATTGCCGTGCTGCATTAAACAAGACAATCACAGAGCCATGAAGGTCTTCATATAATTAGAACATAAATCATAGCCGGCAGCATCAAAATCAATGTATCACTGATAATGTAAGGTATAAGCTGACTTAGCTTGTTCACCATTCAAGACAATCTCTGCCAATTGAATGTTGCCACTTAACCCAGATGCCTTGCAGGATGGCATGAATGAAAAGCCATCAAGAAGCTTCACACACTTCAACCCCCATTTGACCATCAAGAACTCAATGAGATGATGTCCACTGCACATAGTCAGAACCAAGGCCAATTTATAATCACAGAGAGCAGAAAGAGAGGGACAAAATTATCTATTGCTATTAGCAAAACACCTACCTCTAAAAGCACATGTTGCAGACTTAAAAAAGTGCAGGACAGAGAGAAGACAAATGATACCTTCGATTGTGATAGGTGGTCATAAAAACTGAACCAGGAGAATTCTGGAGGATGAACGCCACGGTGGCAAAGAGATCATCGAAGGCTTACCATCACATGTACATTGAATATCTCATGTTCAATTCATTAAAAAGAGTAGAAGAAGATTGAGACATAACATACAGAAAGATAAACAAGTAGCACAACAAAATAATCCTACCACTTGCATCGTACAACACATCAGCCTCAAGGATAATTTTCGGCTGCAGATTGAAGATAGGCTCATCCCAAACGCCCCATGTGAATCCCGATACCTACAAGATTAAGTGAATTACCAGAAAAACAACACACAGAGACACTCTGCAGTAAAAAA